CTGGAGAATCAAGTGTGGAACTTGTGGGGTGCTGTGCGTTTCCCCCTGAAATCCTCCTCCTCCCTCCACTGGTCCTTGCTCTGCACCCGGAGGAGCCCCCAGGAAAGGCAACGGGCCAAGCACCCAGGCATCTGCCACTCAGGGACCCCGGGGTGCGCCAGCCTCAGCACCCTCAGCAGTGCGGCCCCCACCTGAACTGGTGGCTCCGGATGGCACCCACGCCCAGCTGTAACAGGGACCCTTAATGCAAAGCCTGCGTGTCCCTCAAAGCAGCGTTTCTGTCACCATCTTCCCCTGCGGAGCCGTGCTGCGTCTGGGTTCCCAGGTGAGCCCAGAGCCAGGAGCAGTGGGCTCCAACCACTGGACCCGCTGTCTCATAGTTCTGAGGCAGAAGGCTGGGGCCAAGGGTAGGGCTGGCCCCCCTCTGAGGGCTGGAGGGCATGGTCTGTTCCTGCTAAGATTTCCCTGGCAGTTGTGCCTCGCGCAGTACATAAGGTGGCTCTGCTATTCTTTTCAAAGAATTCAGAAGCTTGTCCTGAGCCCAGGCTCCTGAGCTGGTTTCCAACACGGTGATTCCGGTGATTCTGGGTTCCTTAAAGGGCGGCTAGAACTTGGGGAAACTGGACTTCTGTTCCCATCTTTGAACAGGTGTGTGTGGGCCACGTGCCCGCGCACGTGTGTGTGATGTGTGTATATGTGTGGAAGTGCATGCGCGTGTGTGTTCACGTGTGTGTGTGCATGAGTGTGAGTGTAACCTTGACAACACTGTTTCAGGGAGCTGCTGGCTCCTCCTGAGTCGATCTGGTCATTTACATTTTCCGAGAAAAACACTCCTTTCCCCCAGAGTTAACGTGCACAGCGCTGAGCCAAGTGGTCTTGTGGGGCTGCTCTTCATTTCCTCTCTATTCGGGGCTATTTTCTTCTTACTAAGTCCTTATTTGGTGTCTCTCTCTCTTTCTTGCTCAGGTTAGCGAATGGTTTTCCATCTCATTTTCCCTGTGCTTAAAGCACAAGCCTGAACGGTGGCGTTTTCCTCGTCACTGTTTACTAGCTAGTCTGCAGCGAGAGCTGATACCTCTTCTGTGGCTCAGTGGTTTCCTAAGGAAATTAACAAGTTAGCCCCAGTCCTGACCAGGGGGCCCAGTTCACTGGTTCGAGATTCCATTTCTGGGAGACCCAAGACTAGTTAAGTTAAATCCCAGTTTGGTGATGTGGAGCTTGGCATGGGCAACTCCATCTGGGATCTGTTGTCTTGGTTTTAGGAGAACCTTGCAGGAAGGTGATGAGGGTCCTTCTGCCGCACTTCCTTCACCCGACCCGCTGGGACTGGACTCGCTGCCCTAGGCGCTGGTGGACGTGAGGGAGGGAGCTGGTTTCCCCCTTCCTGACCCTGGTCTGAGGGTGAGAAAGAGGCAGAAGGTCAGCAAAAGGACGCTGGGAGGGGTCCCCACTGTGTGCAAAGCCACAAGGCAAGGGGAACCTTCTAGAATTGCAGCTTTCCTCTTACTCTCCCACAGCAGGACTCGGGGTTACAAAATACCCTCTGTATAGTCCCCAGTGTGGAAATAGTGTGGACAACCGCATCTGATCAAAGACAAGAAAAGCAGATGTTAAAACACAATTAGAAATTGAGCAGCCATATTAACTGAATAAAAACAAGTGTGTCTTAAACAACTCTTTGACTCAAGAAGAAATCAAAACTTAAGTTTAATTGAGTATTTCAAAAACTACCAGAGGCAAAGTCACGCACATCACTGCCAAAGACAATGAAAAACACTTAGGATTATAAACCAAACATCATGTCGACGATGCAGCTCAAGCTTTAGAAGAGAATTACCTGGCCTGGACCCAAGGAAAGCATGAGAAGGGAATTAAAGAGCCACCAACAGAAAAATAATTCAAAAACAGACAAACCAAAGCACTAATAAGTAAATACAACTCCCCATTAGCCTGTCCCTAGTTACGGAAAACAGAGGAAGTACAAATGCCCAAAATAATACGTGATAAAGGAGAAGCTGCACACAGATTTAAAATTAAAAATCCTGGGAGAGCACTTTGATCTTATGGATGCTCTTCTAGGAAAATGCAAATTATAAAATCTCCCCGAGAAGTGATAAAGCCTCTCAATGGACCGGTTACCATAGAAGAAATGGAGAGAGTCGTCAGAGGGCCCTCCAGCCCTCAGGATCAGCCCGGATTTCACAGGGTCCCCGTGCAGAATCTTTAAGGACACACTCACTGCAGGCAACTCAAAGGAAGAGAAGGGCCTCCCATATTCTTGGACAGAAAGACTCCATATTACAAATATATTAACTCTTTTAAGCATAGTAACTAATGCTGTTTGAACTGTTCCAGACATAGAAAAAGAGAGAAGGCTTCCAAGTTGTATTTATGAAACAGAACATGATATTCAGTTTTGACAAAGGTATCACAAAGATACCTTTGTCACAAGCCAATCTCGCTTGAGAGCATCAATGTAAAAATCTTACATAAATAAAACATTAGCCAGTAGAACCCAGCAGCACGTAAAAAATAATACTTTATCCGGGCCAGGTAGATCATCCTAGGAATTCAATGGTGTTTATTTTAACACATTTATTCTTCTCAACAGTGTGTTAAGCTTAAATAGAGAAAAACATACGATTATTTCCGCAAGTGCCTAAAAGGCATTTGATAAAGGCTAGCATCCGTTTCCTATTAAAAGCCCTAAATAAATTAGGAAGAAATGAGCATTTTCCAAGATTCTGCTTAAAGGGGCATATTTTAGTTATTCCGTTAAGTCGGAAACAAGGCAAAGATGTTTGATATCACCTTGATGCAATCTGATAAAATAAGGGAATCGGAGGCATAAACATGAGAAAAAAAGGAAAGCCCCATTATTTCAGGATGGTGTGTCTGTGTCCCAGAGGACTCCGCAAGGCCGGCTGCGAGGTTAACTGTAGCAGTCCGTAGACTTCCTGTAAAAACAGTGC